GCGGGGGCCGTCTTAGCTTCACCTGCACATTCCTCACAATATGCAGCCTGTTGGCCGGCCAGGGGGCAGCAGAGCCGGGCTGCCAGGTGCCGGGGGTGGGGGGGGGGGGGAGGCACCTGTATCGCAGGAGAGTGGGTGTGGCCTGGATTCTGAGCTCTGTGCCCAGGAACGAATAGGAAGGAAGGGGCGGGTGGGAAATGAGGGCTGGGATTGTCAGTATGCTAACGTTTTAACAGGAAGAGTACTGGGCGCAGGCTGAATGCCCCTTTCTAATGGCTCCATCGCATACATTATGTTGGTACAGCAAGAGGGGGAGGACTGTTACTTTTTTTTTTAATGCTGTGACTTTTAAAGTCCATGAACAGCACGATGGAACTGCTATATGCAGATGGGCATGAGAATAATTCAGGCAGGATCTGATCTCGGGCAGGGGGAGGGCTGCTTGAGGTCTCCCTCTCTGTGATGCTGTTGCTCATACTAAATGTGTGTTATCAGAGGAAGGATGGAGCCAGTTAGAGAAAGGAGAGCCCGGCCCGGCGGCCGGCTGACCCCCTGTCTGCCCCGCAGTACTCTCGGCAGGAGCAGCAGGAGGAGGGCCGCAGGCGCTACGAGGCCCAGAAGCTGGAGCGCATGGAGACCAAGTGGAGGAACGGGGACATCGTGCAGCCCGGCCTGAACCCAGGTACAGCGGGGGCCCGGGGTAGGTGGCTGATGTCCACTGGCCGGTGACAAGGCGCCGGTCCGTGACGTCCTCCTGGGGTTAGTGCGCCACCCCGAGCCCTTCCGGTTCCAGGCAGCTGGGGCGATGGGGGCCAGGCAAGCCCCCGGAGGCCTCGGGGCGGGGGTCCCGTAGGAAAGGGCTTAGGCCGAGCACTGCCCGGGGCCTGTGTGCCGCATGGGCTCCACTGCCTGCAGAGACCGGCTCCTGCGGGCCCCCCAGCCCCCGGAGCGTGTGTGTACGGGTGACAGACAGTGACAGCAGGCAGCTCTTTCGCGTTGGCGACAAAGCTCTGGGCCACAGCCTCCCTTTCCGGCGGCGCCTGCCCGTCCCTCAGCCTTCAGGTCCAGGGTGGTTCCGCTTCAACAGAATGTCCACCCGAACCCACGCAGGAGGTCACAGATGTTCCCTCCAGCCTCTCCGCCCCAAGTCCTTAACAGCGAAGCAGAGGCGCGCCTGCTGCCCGGCCGCCCTCGGGCGGGGCCTGTGCCGGCGGCTTTCCTGTCCTTTCTGAGCGGGACACGAGCCAACCAGAGCAGGTGGCGGCCCGGGCGTGGCAGAGGCCAGGCCGGGGACACGGTGCTTGGAACCGGTGTTTGGCCGGCAGC